TATATATATATATATATATATATATATATATATAACCTTTAAGATATTAAATTTTAATATAAAAGAGTATGGCATTTCCTTGCTGTATATAATGCTACATGTTTGCTTTATTGTCATTATTTGATATTTCGTTAATGGAAGATCGGCGTTATCGAACCGATCGGTGGATCCTGCCACTTAAATTCCTCTTGATAGGTAACGTAGACTACCCAGTAGCAGACGTTGAGTAGACCGAAAGATGCGGGGAAAACTATACGTGCTATCCTGTCGATGTAAGACACGCTGTTTATGTGCCTTCTCGACATACGATCGCCGCATTTTCGATAGTTGCTGGCCGCTTCGCGTTGCCGGCGACGCCTGAAATTTTAGATATTAATTACGGCGGATCTTTGTCTTGGGGTTTATACAGACGTAACTTTATTTAAAAGATAACAAGAGAAATAAATGAGTATATAATTTGATTTTAATTTTACGAATTTTATGAATAGTTTCGATAAATAATTTATAAGTAGTAGGAGTAACAGAAATAATAGTAAAAATAATAGAATTTTTTAAATTTGATATATTGAATATTTTATAAAACCTGGTTTTCTTGATAATTTGTACCTAAAAGCATCATCTCCCGCTAAACAATAGAGAAATTGACGCCATATAGGTAACACAAGTTCAGTTTGCGTATGTCTCTCCATCGTCGATGGTTTCGAAGAAATGGCGACTGTAATGGAGTGACAGGAATCTCGTTCGTATGTGACGTCGTCCTGTCGGAAATGAAATTTGAATTAGTAACGATGTAATTGATATTTTACACAATAATTCTAGGAAAAACTGTAAGGAATTCATAAAGAAATAAAAAAAAATTAGATCAGTCTCCAAGATCGAATATTTCAATGGATTTGTGAAATTAATTTTTATACTTTAACCGTTTGTAAATTAATTTTCATAAAGTAATTTATTGATTTTTATAGGAAAAAATATCTCGAATTACAAAGGGCATTTCTATATTTTTAAAAGTTCCTTAGACTTTTAAGATAGATCTTCTTAAGATATTATTCGAAAATTTTATTATTATTTTGATTTTATTATTATTATTCATAAATTGCAACAGTTTATATTAAAATATTAAACTAACATTATATAATGCGGACATGAGAGAACCACGTTTTCTAGTACTCGTGTCGATAATCTCCGGATGAACGGCCTGAGGACTGCAAGAAATCAACGTACGAAATTTATCCTCAAACTCCTCGCTTGTAATGCTTTTCCATTCTTCCCATTCTTCGTCGTCCAATGGGATCTCGCCGCTACCAACCTGAAGATTAATTAAAATTAGATTAATATATTGGCTTAAATTTTATTTATCTTCTTCATATATATTTTTAATTGAAGATATTTTGATATGAAGAAAATTTTAATATTATTTTGCATCGTTCTAAATGCACGAATTTTTATTAACATATTGAGTATTATATAATATGAAACTATATTTTTGAATATTTACAAGTACATACAAATTGATGTTAGTTGTGTGATTTTGGATCAGAAAAACGAAATAATCATAGTTTTTCCATGTCACGAGGAAACTTTTAGAGCCAATCGTTATCATGATTTCTAAATACACGTGCGAAAGAGCAATCTTAAAATTAGCATGAAATATTGACTCAAATATTTTATTAATAATTTATTAATAATATATTATATTTTATTAATAATTTTAAAAAGTTGTAATTATTTTTCCAAAATACGCAGTATATTTATTTTTGTAATAAAATAATTATGTAAGATACTTATATTACAAACATTTTTCTAGCAAATATAAATTTGAATGTCCCATAGAAATATTTTAATAATTCCATTAATCAAATTATTTTCTATATCTAGCCAAATTTTTAAATAAACAATAAAATCGTTCTTTTCATATATATCCGATATATATTCACATAAGATTCCTTTTACAAGAAAATGATTTAGCGGGTGAGAAAATATTACAATTCATCACCTTCGTGAAATAATGAACACCGGCAAACTCCAAGAGGGTAGCGATGCAGTAACCGAAACTCATCAGTAGAAACCAATCGAGAGCAGTGGCGTATCTAACTTTCGGCAAATCCGTTCTGGAATCGAGGCTTATCGTCGATAGCGTCAAGACGGTAGTGATACCTAGAAAATTTATGATATAGTGTTATCCGCAGGGCCGGGTTTTCCATTAAGCGTCGCATACGCAGTGCCTAGGGCCTATGAGATTTTCAAGGGTCATAAAGGGAAGAAAAATGGTAAAAAGCGCTAAACAAGTATAAAATCTTTTTTACGGCGAGAGATAAATCGTAAGAGCGAAAAATAATGGAAAAGCAAAGAAAAAAACGATAGACAGACATGTTAAAAATTGGTTGTAATGTACCTAAACCCACGCGATCGCTTGTCGCCTCGCGATGAATCCAAAAGGATACCCAACTCAGCACGACTATCAAAACACATGGCACATAAACCTGTTGACGTGAGAAAATCTCTTTATTTTTATTACATTGTGCAGGAAAGCTGTAATTTTATGTTTATGTAATTTACGCGCGCTCACTTGTATGAGAAAGTAACCAGTGTGGCGTTGCAGGTTGAAAGACACTTGCAGTACCGAGAACTCGCCCTCACGTCGAACAAATGTGAGATTTCTGTACGGAGAACCCATTAAATCGAATTGCGACAGTGCCATTCCAGGCACGAAGGTCACCGATGAACCTTCCTGCCATTCGTAAACCAGCTGTCCCGAAGTGTACGCATCTAACAAATAGACATGTAACAACATTACGTAAAAAAATCATCATGATGAGATAGTAATCTTTTATAAAAATATATTTCAAGGTATATAAACATCTGAAAAAAATTTCAAAGATTTACCCGTGTTTATTAATATTTGTTAAAATTAATTAATAATTAAAAAACAAAAACAAGCCAAGACGAGCGAACGGGATGACAAAGTTTATTAAATTCACTTCAATCGTGCAATTAATATAATCGGAACATTTCGAAATTATGTTTTAATGTTTTAATTATTATTAATTATATTCGGAATTACTAAATCCTCTTCAGTAGCCTATTCATTTTAATAAAATTATAAATAAAACATATAAATGATAATAAAAACATAAAATAATTAAGTGAAGACATAAAGACTTTGTAATTCGCATCGTGGGTCGTATCAATTAATAATGACATTCTAGAGATATTCAATTATAAATTCTATAAGTATTTAATAAACAGACGATTAATCACCGCGAATATCTTTTTCTCTTTTTATATTTATTTTTCGATTAATAGTCATCTAAAAATTCGTCAATGCGTATCCGCCAAATGCATCCTGTTTTATTCCAATGTTTCATCGAAACATCGGAGCGATTAAACATCGGAAATATAATGCATTTGGCGAATATTAATAACTAATCTTAATATCGTGCGTCCCGATTCGAGGAAAGTTCGATCACTAGCGCTCTTATGATAATAAATTTCGATATTATGTCGCATCATAGACCATGGTGCCAGCTGTTATGGCAAAAGATGGAACCACCAGGCATCGTAAAGCCGAAACGTAAAAGAATATCGAATTTATTGCGATCGTAACTTCGACGTGGACGATCGCGAACACTCGCTGAAGGATAATATCGGACATTATGCACGTAAGGAATAGCACAACGTGCGAGAGCATACGAATGAAATATTATTTGTCCTGATTTCGTTACAAATTATATTTCCGTCGAAGTAGGTTTTAATTGATGCGCGAACCGTAGAAACTTTGTATTTA